GGGGAGTGAGACCCCTCTCCTGCCTGCACGGGGCCTGGAACCTCTCCCTGGGGAGTGAGACCCCTCACCTGCCTGCGCGGGCTGGGGAACATCCCCCTGGGGAGTGAGACCCCTCTCCTGCCTGCGCGGGGCCTGGAACATCCTCAGGAGAGATACTGAAGTGCTGGAGCGAGTGCAGAGAAGAGCAACGAGGCTGGTGAAGGGACTCGAGCACAAGTGCTAAGAGAGGCTAAGGGAGTAAGGATTGTTTAGCCTGGAGGAGGCTCAGGGGAGACATTACCATCCTCTACAGCTCCCTGAAAGGAGGTTGTAGTCAGGTGGGGGTTGGTCTCTTCTCACAGACAACTAGCAGTAGGACAAGAGGGCACAGACTCAAGCTCTGCCAGGGGAGGATTAAGGATAGATATTATGAAGAAATTTTTTATAGAGAGTGTAATCAGGTATTGGAATGGGCTGCCTGGGGAGGTGGTGGATTCACTGTCCCTGGAGGTTTTTAGGATGAGACTGGATGTGGCACTTAGTGCCATGGTCTAGTAACCACGGTAGGGTTGGACTCAATGATCTTGGAGGTCTTTTCCAACCTGGCTCATTCTACGATTCTATGACCTCCCCAGGGAGCAGGACCCCCGCCTGGCTGCTCAGGGCTGTAGGAGCCCTCCCCGTGGCAGTGAAGTCCTGGTGAAGTCCCGGTGGCAGCAGACCCTGCTGACAGGCATGGCCACAGCCCCACCGCTGGCTCTGCATGGACAGAGGTGACAGGACAGTTTTAGTGATTTTGGTGCTTTACAGTGTGTGGATTCAATTTGGCCCTGCCAGGAGCATAGACACAGCTTGCTCTGACAGGCACCTGGCTGGCCATGGAGGTGAGCCGAACACTGGCTGTACCAATCCCTCTCACCACAACAGCTGGATCACTTCTCCCACAGGTGTAGGGAGAAGCCCATGTTCCTTTATTACAGAATGAATTGCCTGTTCAGCAAGCTCAACACCAAAAGAACTCTAGATGACACTGAGGTGCTGCAAATAGGAAACATTCATTTGCAGAATATTTTGCAAATCTACAGGAGTAAAACAAGCACAAACACTACATGCACAGAGCAAAGACAAGAAGGGGAGTCTCCCCTTCTTTTGAAGCACACACAATTAACACTGGTACAGCTCTGTCCCCTGCACATCATTCCTGTTATCAGTCATGGGAACTAGGTTTGGAAGAGAAACTGGGATGTGAAAGTACCATGTCTGCTTTCCTGTCCTCCTCCTCTGTGAACCACAGAGATTCCCTCTTTTCATCAACCTCCCTGGGAAAGGGGGGACACCCCACTGCAGGGCCTGTCAGCTAGAGGCAATGGATGCTCCTGGCATTCCTCTGCTGCGTTGCAGCCTGTGACACTAAGAGCTTTCCTTGGAGGGCTGCTTGGTGCCCTGTAGGATCAGTGCTGAGGCAGTTGCCCTCTTCTGATGCCGCCACTTCGCCCGCCGGTTTTTGAACCACACCTAGAAAGTGCAAAACAAGAAAAGGACTTTTGCAGCTCACGTGTTACAGGGAGGGGGGAAGGCAGTTACACTGTACCATGTGAGCTGTAGGATACTGTAATACATTTCCTAATATCAAAGTCTGATACAGAATTTAATCAGTCCCTCCCCTACAACCCTGCTATATGTAAGGGGCTAGAGGCAGCTGGGACCCGCCATGGCAAATTCAGAATCACACAGATCATGTAGGTAAGGAATATACACTTGGATGCAGGGGATGGGCAGAGCTGGGCATGTCTGTGTGTTTGTACAGGTGATTTTGGGAGAGAGAGATTGTGTGAGTCTATGGGACTGGATACCAGAACAAATCAGCCCAGCAGAACTGGTTTGTATTCTTCCACTGCTCACCAGATCTAAACTCTGTTTTGTCAGGGACACAAGGATGGTTATTAACATGAAGCCCTGGGTCTGCAGTTCCCAAAAAAGACAGCACAGTGCCCCAGTCTGTGTTCTTGGGGGACTGCAGCACCTCCCTGAGTGGCAGAATCTCACCTCTACCCTCTCCTCCTTCAAGTGAATGCGGCTTGCCAGGTGCTCACGGGTGACAACGTCCGGGTACTGGTTCTGATGGAAAAGCGTCTCCAGGGCCTGCAGCTGCTCCTCGCTGAATATGGTGCGATGGCGGCGCGTCCGGCGCTGGATCTGCTGGAAAGTCTGCAGCTCACTTGAGTTCTCCTGGGGACTCTTACAGACCCTGACCGATGAGTGGAAGAGCTGCATGGGCCAGGGGAACCAGCTGTCTGCAAGGGGAGAGGGACAGCAGTGTTAGGAGTGGGGGCTCAAGCACCTGTGTTGCTCTAGGCAGCTCAGGCATATGTTGTATCCATGCATGTTGTTTGGAAGGAGGCAG